AAAAAAAAAAAAAAAAAAAAAAAAAAAAAAAAATGTTAGTTTTTATTTTTTAGTTTTATTTTTTAGCCAAGTGGTTCTTCACTATTCGTGCTGTGTTGATTACTACAGCCCTCGAAAGTCTTTCGGCGACGTCCTCTAGTTTTCTCCGATTCATTCCCGGCAGTTGCTCCAACGCTTTCGTCGTTCGATAACTGATTTCCCCGGTGGTGCCAATAACAATAGGAATAAAACTTACGTCCATTTTGTACCTTTGTCGCATGTCGTCCACCAGCTTGGGACCCCTCTCGTACGGCGTCTTCGTTTCGTCCTCCTGCTTCCTCGAGTTTACAACATACCTATTAAACTTAATGTTATGTTGCTGCTCAATCCCTACTGCGCTGGCCACCGAAATCTCAACTACATATATTTGCTTATTCTTGCTATCTATTAAAACGAGATCTGGCTTTCGGTGGTCCATTAACCGCTGCGTCTGGATGGCTACATTCCAGAGAAGCTCAGCGCTATCACTTTTCGCCTGATCGGGGAGCTCCTGACTGTAATGTACAGTAGGAAGCCCGTATCTAGTCGCCAAGTGATAGTAGACTACCCTCAAAGCCGCGTCGCGCCTTTCTACATAAAGGTTGGAGAGCCACTTACTACATGATGATACTACGTGCTCAACGGTCTCCTCCCTCTTACCACATTGCCTACAAAGACTAGATTGGTTACTACCTAAAGATCTCCTTATTGCTGCAGCTGCTGCGCTAGCCCTAGTAAGAATATTATGCTCTTGTATACCTAAAGCTATCCTAGCATTCTGCGAGCTTATGCAGCCACGTTTCAGCCATCTAAAGCTGAGGTAGTGGTTTAGGTTCTCCATTCGGTGAACCTTTCCTGCCACCTCCTTACTACGCCACTGCAGTATGCGCTCCGCTGCCCTATACTCCCTAATCCTGTTAACTAAATACTTTCTTAAATTGCGCGGCTGATTAAGAAAGTCCCTATCGCCGTAAAAGCACAGGTTACCACCTGATACTTCTACCTCGTACCTAGCTAGTATTTCCCTAACGTCCGTATTAATGCTGCGCTTGCCGCTCTTACGCGTGGCCTCATTAAAATACCATATAGGCCTTAGCTCTGGCATACTAGCTAGATAAGCGTAGAACGCCACCACCTGATTTTCCAGCTCGTCCTTCATCGAAGGCCATCCGTGTCCCCCTTCCTCTGCGGCTAGGTAGACACGGCTTGTGCATGATTTGGCATATATGGCCATCTCCTCCGATAAGATCGCCCTAATCTCAGTGTCTAACTGCGTGGCTGCCTTAAGTGAGTCAACTAGCTTCGTTTTGCCGCCCGCTGTCATCATATAAAAGTACGACATTTTGGCTACGACGATCGATGACAGCGCCAGCCTCTTTTGCCCTAAACTAAGGTCTGTGCTGAGGATTTGTCTTACTTCGGCTTTAGCTTCTGCTACTAAAAGATTATACCCATCCCCGGTGTTTTTAAAGTGCTGCTCAATCCCTAGGTACCTATAAGTACGCGCTTCTCCTAATTCTCTAATACCCATCAGACTGGGTGCTACCCTGCCACCACCGGGGATATATTCCGCTTTAGCGCATTTATCTAAATTTAGTTCTAATCCTAAGACTGAAGAAACTGACCTAACTATGCTCAGTAACTTACCTAATTGCTCCGTACCCCTAGCGAAAAGTTTCAAATCGTCCATATAAAACAGGTGGTTGCATTGAAGCGTCCTACCTGTTGTCCTTCCAAAACTCGTCTCCATCCTAGGTCCAAATCGATTCAGGGCGTACGAGAGCGGCCCTACGGCTAAAACAAACAGAGTGGGAGACAGTGAGTCGCCTTGAAAGATTCCATTTTTTACTGGAATCTTCCTGGTGATGGCGTTTTGAGAATGAAAAGTTGTCCCCCATCTGTCCGTAGCCCTATCTACAAACCTCAGAATAAACCTAGCCGCGTTAACTGCTCTAAGTAGCCACTTAATATATGCGTGCGGAATGAAGTCAAACGCTTTCTTATAGTCAAGCCATGCTACACTCAGAGGGTGTCTTTTACCTACCTGCGCATCCTTTACTATAGCCCTATCTATTAGCGACGCATGTAGACACCCCCCTTCTCCTTTTTTGTTAGCGCGCTGTTCTCTTGTAAAATCGCTCACTCCTTCTAGGTGTTTTAGAAGTAGTGCATTGATCGCCGTTGTGAGGACCTTATAACATGTGTTCAGACATGTTATAGGCCTGTAATTGCTGGGGTTCTTGGCATCCCCTTTCTTATATATTAGCACTGTTCTACCCTGCGCTAGCCAGTCTAATGGCCACTTACCTAAAAGAATAATTTTCGCTCCTACTTTACTCGGTAGCGCGGAAACTCCTGGAATGCTCTTCCACCAGAAGGCCTGGATTCCATCTGGTCCTGGAGCCTTCCTGGGCTTCATGTGTCTTATCCCTTTCTGAAGTTCCTGCTCAACCCGCGCCTCACTGATGGAAAACTCATGATATTCCAATCGCAACGTTTCCTCCCATTCTCGTAGGTACTCGCATTCGCGCGGCTTTGATTCTTTTGCCCGTCCTAATATAGGCTCCCAGAACCTCTCAATCTCGTCTGCTCCCGGCCGGTCAATCCTCGGTATTTTTCCATTTTTAAGAACCGTAAGCTTTTTAAGAACCCTAAGCGACGGTTGAGCATAGAATGCTTTTCTCAGCTTTTTCCTTCTAATTTCCTGTTTTCGCAGCTGGATTCTTTCCTCAACTATTTCTAGTCTTTGCTCATTTTCTATAGCTATGCGCTCCAGCTCCGCTGCGTTGCTAGTGCCAAGAATTTGTGCATTGCGCCTATCCTTATCAGTCCTTGGTCTCCGTTCTCTCTGCCTCACCAGCTCTGCCCTAGCCCTCACTATTGCGTCCTTTATGCGATGCACTTGTATCTTCTTCTCCGCAAACCATTCCCTTTCTCGTTTCGCTTGCGGATCGTTTCTTCTTCGCTCCTTTGCATCATCGATGGTCATTGAAGCTGCTGCATAAACAAGTGCATTGAGCCATGATTGCTGGGGTCCTTGGCATCCCCTTTCTTATATATTAGCACTGCATAGACAAGTGCATTGAGCCATCCTATGGGAGACATGCCGGTTGGCTTGTCTTCCCACGCCTTGCGGACGCATCTACCAGCTAGAAGGAGAGCTTCCTCCGAAGCATTTCTTAGTCTTCCTAGAATCGGACTGCGGGAGAACCCCCTCATCGCCGCCTGCACGTATATTCTGAAAACTTCGTATTCCTCGAGGCTTGGTTCTCCTCCTCGAAGCGTCGACAGATGATCCTCTTCCATACCACTCGAGATGATCCTTCGCAAAGTTTGAGAAGAACACTATCCAGGGTGGTATTCCACTCACCTACCTGAATTTGAGATGGTACATCTGCTGGCTGTTGCTCAATGCTCAGTTTTGCCCATCGGGGCTTAAGTGCTGCTGCTGTGCGCTCGACTCCAGTCTGCTCTCTAAAAATTCGCACTAGATCCTTAAAAGCTGCGCGCGGATTGCTTTTCCTAATGCCGCATAAAGCCTTCTCCTGCTGGGGATTCCATTTTATACGCGGCCCTACACTACTTTCACTAGTACATGTACTACGCTGCGACCGAGTACTATTGTGTCTTAATGCTCTTTTTGCTTCACTGCGGTTATCTTCTATGCTTTGCAGCTGCTGCCCCTTTCACCACTATGCTCGCCATAGAGTAGGCGAGACAAGTCGAACATTGCTCTAGCTGTGAAAGAAAGCTTTAACTGTTTGAGCCTCATTCACATAGAATCTCGTAGTGCTCCTTTTCGCGGGGCAACAGCATAGACGACGCGTTTTTTTTTTTACATTTTATTATAACTAAATTTCTATTATTATTATAATACTCTAGTAATGATTATTTTTGGTACATCGTCCATATTGCGTCCCTTGTGAGAGAGCAGCAGAGACACAACCGCTCAGCTGCTGTACATTGCGTATCCGATCTGTATTGAAAATACAAAAAAGTGAAAAAAACAAAAAAGAAAAAAATT